CCCTTTTTATTATTCCTTTGTTCCCTTCAATATTGGCAGGCATGGATTGCATATTACCAAACATTTGTAACTTTGCAATGGTGTCAGAAGAAATAAATCAGCCAGTTTGTTTCTGCAGAGAATGGTTATATATTATATGTAACAAAATCAATAGAACACACAGAACAGAACGTCATCTTTGGAACAGAAAACTCTGCTAAATTTAAATTCCCTGGTGCATTTTAAATCTAGCACAGTGTGGATGGGGGACCGTGTGGGAATATATATTTATGAGATCTATATTCTTGTTATTTTTAATGGTACATGGAGGGCATCAACCATGAAAGACATCAAAATTTACATTTAATTTAAAATGTGGCACCAGGATACACAGCAATTTATTGTGTGCCTCGTAGTCTGAAAACAATAAATATGTGCTTGTAGAGATGTACCTGAAATGTTTTCAGATTTAAAGGGTTACTATAGTGCTAGAAATACAACATTGCATTACTTGCACTATAGCTCCCTCGCGCCCCACCCCACTTAATACCCTTGCTATACTTACCTGTACTTACCTGATCCCAAGCTCATTAGGTCATCCCTATAGGAAACTATTGCTGCAAAAAATAGAGGGGCAAAGGTTTAAAAATAATATCAGGAAGTATTACTTTACTGAGAGGGTAGTGAATGCATGAAATAGCCTCCCAGCTAAAGTGGTAGAGATTAACACAGTGAAGGAGTTTAAGCATGTGTGGGATAGGCATAAGGCTATTGTGACGAAAGCAACTGGTTTTTGGAGAGGATTAATGGCCAGCCTTTTACCCTGTGACTATGGCCCCTTTAAATTATTTTGGCTGAGAGACCCTAATTGTGCCTATTGGGACTTTAAACATAGTTTTTTTCAAATTCCCGAACAGTCGAAGTGGCCGCCATTCGACATTCCAACACTTGGTGGTGGCCATCTTGTTTGCATGAGCTAAAACCACATATAGACTTCAGGGGGACTTAGCAGTGAATTCTCTGGAACTATTTTCGACATGAAAACCTAGTGGTTCTCGGTTGGTCCTCCAGTGGCACTTAGCCGCGAATCTATGGAACTGTTTTAGGCATGAAATCCTGGGTTCGCATGGGCAAAAATATGACTTTCATAAAATTTCTGAACCCCTGATCTGATCTGGGTGATTTTTGGATATGTTGTTCACCCAGATCAGGGCTATCAGGGGATGTAAGATTTATGGGGATATGTTAAGGTAAGCACTAGGAGCATCGATTGAGATATAACATAAGGCCAGGAGCTAATGAAAGTATTTAGAAAATTGGGCAGACTAGATGGGCCGAATGGTTCTTATCTGCCGCCACATTCCATGTTTCTATGGAGTTTTGCTTTAAGCTGGATGTCCTCATGCAGATAGTGGGAATGTGAAGCGTCAGTTAGGCAACCAAAGTCACCTAACCACCAGGAAGTGCTTCCAGTGGCTGTTTAATTGACAACCACTAAAGGCAGTCTGAACCCTGCAATGTAATTATTGCAGTTTCTCAAAAACCGCAATCATTACAATTTCAGGGTTAAGGGGACAAGGACATTGCACCCAGAGCACTTCAATAAGCTGAAGTGGTCTGGGTGCCTATAATGTCTCTTTAAAGGGTGAAGCTAACTAAAATTTGAAATATTTCCCCTTTTACCTAAATTTTGTTCTAAAATAATCCCCATAGTTTATTTTCTCCTCCTCTCTGGATTTCTACGTTTAGTTTTATTTTTCATTACTTCAAAAATACATATTTTATTAACTGTACGGAATACACAAATATATTATAACAAATTCTGGGGAACAGACAGTTCCTACTTAAGTATAATTAGTAGATGTTTCTCCTAATCTGCTTTTTCAATCCTGTAAATCCATATGGCCCACGGGTCTGATTCCTCAAGTGTTCTATTCACTAAACATTAATCTATAATGATTTGGAATAATTACTCTACATCACTATAGTCACAGCTTGGGTATTTTAGCCTAAATGTTGCCATTTCCTTTCTTTCCCATTAAAATGTAATGTTTCATAAATATTAGACATGTGCAATTCGTTTCGGTCCGAATGTGAATTCGGACGAATTTTGGGAAATTCAGACATTCCTATGCCTGGGAGATAATTGAGTCAGGACCTGAACTAACTCAATTATCTCCAGGCACAAAAAAACATAACTCCGAAAGTACCACCAAAACCCATGGAAACCCCACAAAAAAAACATTCCCTGATAGCCCCGATCTGGGTGACCAACATATCCAAAAATCACCCAGATCGGTTCAGGGTTCGGGATTCCCGTGGAAGTCATAATTTTGACTGACCGTGCACATGGTCCTATGCCCAAACAAGTACATAACTCACATGAACAGAGTCTTTTAAAGTGCATTGGGCAAGGTATATTACAGGGCCCATAGTCCTGAGGCAAGAGGCTGGCCAGCAGGCCCCTCCAAGAATGCGTGATGAGGTTCAGTTTGTCACATTCTTCTATTCTGAAGAAATCCCCCTGTCCCCCTCCCCCGTGTTCTTCTAACTTGTTAACATAAGCACGCCACAGTGTATTATTTTGAAAGTAAATGTAAAGTGTGTGGGTTTTTCTGTCAGGCTGTTTATGTTTGAAGAGCATTGTGTGATTACAGGACTTGAAACAAAAGCAAAAAAAAAAATTGTCAGACCATTAAAAGCCGACGCTGCCACTTTTGCCTGGAGAGGACTGCTTGCCCGCCTCTTGCCCTGTGACTATGGCCCTGTTACAAACTGCCATTTGTAACTGTTATTTTATTTGACAAATTGCCCTGCTTCCCTGTGCTATGGAGAAGCCTAATTGCCAGCCTTCTGCCCCATGACTATGGACCTAGTGTGTATGGCGATTTGACTGTATTTGTGGGATCTGAGCGCTGTTTGGATATATTGAGCGCTCAGATCCAAGCCATCTGGGGATAGGTTGAATGTGGGGGTTCTGTTCAGTATGATAGGAGTTATGCATTTTTGTGTCTTTTTGTGTCTTTTGCTAACATGTGGTTAATGGAGTCTGCCTCTATCCCTGGATAATTGGATTACTTTCCCCATTGTCCAGGATAGAGGGCTCTGTAAATCCGGTTTGGGCCAGAAAACCATGCTGCCAGCTAGGCCCCAAAAGATACTTTTGCTAACTTGTGAACCCCTTGTCTGATTTGTGCCATTTTTTAATATGTTGCTCCCCTTGATGGATTGATTCCAAATATTTATTTGTATGAAGATTGGATGTATGGTTTTAAAGTTACAGGGTATGGATAAAAACTGTATTTTTACTGCCTGTGTTTAATTATGTTAACCCATTGTGCAACATAATTAGATCACAGGCAGAGGGGAGGAGTTTTGTGTGTAATTGCTGGGAGTGTTTCTGTAATGTACATTTATTATTGGTTGTTTTATACCTCCCTGTGGGCGGTCCTGTATTTGCAAGACTGTAATAAAAACCAGGCTGGGTGTGCCAGCACCTCAGATCTTCTTGACCCTCTAACTTGCAGCCTTGACTCATGTTTGTAGGGGACAGCTATAATCACTACAGGGATTGCTATGCTCTTCATACTCCCTTAGCTACTGAGCTCTTGTTCCTGATCCTGCTTCGCTCTGCAGAAGGAAGAGGTTCACCTACTGCAACCTGGAGCCTGGTCGTGGGTCCAGGGCACAGAGCAGACGGCGAGATACCAGCCCAGCAGCGGTGGTTCGTGGAGTCTGCAGTACTTCTGGTGGCTACGCAGTAGTTATGGTGTCTACGGTGCTGATGGTCCTTTGGTGAGCGCTAGGAGCATCCTTTTCTACGGTCCAACTTCCAGCCAGCCTGGAGGCAACCGTAACAGGCCCCTGGGATGTTTTGCCCTTTAAAGACATGATTTGGGCATAATGGATTTGTGTTGTGCCGCTGCTGGCCCTTTAGGAACCATCTGGGGACATACTGTGGAGTTACTGGGTGGCCACAATTTCCTGTATCAGAAGCACATGGTGAGAACAATGGATGGCGGCCATTTTAACTCACAGACACTGTTTGGACTTTTCAACATGGTGCCATCTTGCCAGTATTTGGTGCACAGAGACATCGTGCAGTGGTTTTGGACTATACAGCAGGGGACACATTATACAGTGATTGTTTTTCATTTAGCCTGTATATGTTCTGCAGAATCTGCATTAAACTGTATTTTCCAAAGTACTGAACGGATCTGGGTGAATTTTGGATATGTGGTTCACCCAGATCCCCCGGTTCCAAGGATATACTTTTATGGGGTTATTGCATGTTTTGGGGTCCCTGTGTGTTTTATGAAACTGTATTATTTCTGGCCAGCAGATAATTGAGCTTTGTGTATTGTAGAAACTCAATTATCTAGCCTGGCCCAGAGGAGGAGTTTTGTGTTGCATAAATTGTGAGTTCTGTGTGCCAGTAAATCAGTCTTGTTCCAGCATTAAGCCTTGGCTCATGTTTGGGGGATTGGAGAAATACACTCTGGGGATTGCTATAATCACTATACTCCCCAGGGTATGATCACTAAGTTCTGCTAAGAGCTTGTTCCTGTTCCTGCTCTCTGGGGAAAGAGAGGTTCACCCACTGGAAGCTGGATCCTGGCCTTGGGTCCAGGGTGGGTGGAGACAGCAGAGACCCCGGCACAGTTGCATCGCTGGAAGTGGGGTCTGCAGTGCTGATGGTGTCGGTTGGAGTGCTTGGAGTCCTCAGCGAGCACTAGGAGCATCGATTGGCGGAGGTACTCAGTCGGAGTGCCAGCGTTCCGTCACAGACGCTAAGTATCATAAACAGTACAGCTTATTTTAGTATTTATGGCATTATATATATATATATATATATATATATATATATATATATATATATATATATATATATATGGTTGCTACCCTCATTTTTGTGTCAAAGCATTTTGGAGCAGTTTCACAAAAATTAGGATCACCCCAGCATCCAGGGGCGGACTGAGAGCCTTTGGGACCCCAGGGCAAAATTAGATCCCAGGCCTGAAGGAATATTGACCCCTTAAGGACACATGACATGTCATGATTCCCTTTTATTCCAGAAATTTGGTCCTTAAGGGGTTAAACAATGAATCTGTCAGTATTTCAGAACTGCTTGCAAAACATAACTGAAAGGAAGTCACAAGCTATGACAGTTTCTATGTATCAGGAAATGCCTAACCACAATGTATATGTGATATTTTGTAAGATTAGATTATTGAATGTAACAGCAGAAACTACTTCCTCTTTTATGTATCTTGTGTAACCTTTTTGTAACCTTTTGTAACCAATATTCGTGACAAATATTGTATAAGTACAGAGCATTTTGAATACATTGTCAGAAGATTATGGAAAGCAAAGAGTGTGTGTCTGGTTAATACGCTTCCATAAAAATCTTCCCTGAATATTCAGCTGACACAACGAGGGTTGGAGAATAGTGACCAGAGGGACCGAGTCACCAGAGTAGCAGATTTACCTTTCAAGGCCCTTTGAAGGCCAAATATATGTGCATTAAATAAATGTTAAATATAACTCTCATATAATCTGGCATTCCTTTGGATGTGTATATTGCGAAGACCTATGTATCAATGCATGTTTGTATTTGAGTCTGTGTTAATGCATATGTGTATTTAGCGTTAGTGTGTGTCTGCATGTGCAGGGGTGTGGAATATTAAAATAAATCTACTTGTCCAAGGGGGGGGTGACAGGTGACAGAGTGTGTGAGGGAGGGGTGACAGGTGGATGAGTGTGGGAGGTGGTGACAGCTGATGGCATAAAAGAGAGTGACTATCAAACTCAGTTGACAGCTGAAGGTGTCTTTAAGGTGGTTACTGTTTGTTTAGTAGAATGGCTGGATCTTGTCCAAATTGCTGTTTTTGTATGTACTGAGGCTTGTGGCGGACCTTGTACTATTCTCTTCGGTTGCCCATACCTATCCCAAAGTTTCCTGAATTGATATGTACACTCATATTCATGGACCGAATGAATACCAACCACCCCTTGGGTAAGGTGTCCCAAGCATGTAATGAAGGTGCTGGTACCTGAATGTTCGCTGTGCTGCAATTGTTTGCCATTATCGTGAATACGTAGCTTGGGTCCAGGGTCCCACTGATATGGGATAGCATTGTCCCACAGGAGCTTGGCAATGGATCTCAAGGAGTGTCACCAAATAATATTGTAACAGGAAAAATCTGTTACAAGTCCTTCAAAAGTATAGATTGGAGAGGCTCTAACAATAGCCATATTTGCAGCTTTGTCTGCCTTCCGGTGGAACAGTATCAAGATGTCTCTGGGACCATCAGCTGGTTATCTAATGGGTCTGGTCACGCAAAAGTGAGAGTCTATTTTAATGCCTTTAGCTCTAGAAGAAGGTAAAAAGGAAGTCCAAGGCCTCCTGAGCAATTGTGGGCACTGTCTCAGGAACCAATCCACAGATACTGACACCAGTGGAAATTCTCCATCTCAGCTAGTTTTGTGTCATGCAATTGCTGTTTGTGCTGTAACTGTGTCGGTGCAGTAGCCATGTCCTGCTGTTTGCTTCCATAATTGCCAACATTCGCCTCAACTGCCTGTATTCGGCCTGCCAGTGTTGCCATATCCACTCTCAGCACCAAGATGTCAGTAGAGAACAATGCCTTTATCTCAGACAGCAGGGCTTTTATATCTTCCTTGTTGGCTGGTAGATGGTCTTCTGTCTGAGCATTCATGAAAGTTTCCGTTAATCGGAATGCCATCAATGTCATCTGATGTGCTGGCTTGCATAGAAAATGAAGCTGGTTGCCCCACTGGTGCCATCTTGACATATCAGGGTCGCAATATCTCATGGGGCCTAGACTCAACGTGCCTGGGATAGACTAATGAGGCAGTCACCACACCACTTGGCTGTGCTTCCGCAAGTCTAAATTGCTGCTCTAGGTCATATGCAGTGCTGGCCTCTGGGAAGGCTGGGGATAGTTACCTCAATTGTGCCATTTTGGGCACACAATGTTCTTGAGTTTGACACAGCAGGTCCCCAATATTGGGGTATTTAGTAAAGGAGATAGTTTTTGCTGTTTTCGAGCATCCATATTTGCCAATGGGAAAAGTTTCAAAAAAAAAAAAATCGCCACAATAAGCAATGTCAACAGTTAGTAGAAGGCTAACACTCTACAGAGCACCGCAACACACATCTGCTCTGTTCAAGTGCCTTCTCTGCCCCCAATGTATGTTTTTGTACAAGTCAGATGGACAATATTTATGCTAAAATATTAATTGAACACTAAGACTGACTCAGTGGTGAAGTCCATTATATACATAAAGGTTATTTTTCCTCAAACCACCCGAGGTGGTAACCTGAACAACTCTGGGCTAAAAGCAGCTCTGCACTTTATAAAGTAGTTTATAAACTAAACTTGAAATTAAGAACTGACAAGAGAACTACACATTTTATGCCAAAATAGCAGAGCTGTAAAAATAGCTGAGGAGGTTTTTTTTTTTTTTAAGTTTTTTTTTGTTGCAATTTCTAATTTAGTGAAATAACCACTTAAAAAGTACATAACTCTAATTCAGGGCCTCATTAACATCTAAAGTATATTTAGTTACAGAAGTCTAAGCCTTTTCTTCCCCAAATATCCAGTTCTCTGATACTTCCTCCATGATTTAGAGAACTCAGAAGAGAGTCATAAAGAACGTCTCACTCTCTCTCTGCGAATAACAAAAATTCAGTGACCGCTGGAGAGTTGTTTTGTTTGGAATTGCAATTTGTCCAATTCCTTAAAGGACCACTCTAGGCACCCAGACCACTTCAGCTTAATGAAGTGGTCTGGGTGCCAGGTCCTTCTAGGGTTAACCCATTTTTTCATAATTATAGCAGTTTCAGAGAAACTGCTATAATTATGAATGGGTTAAGCTTTCCCCTAATCCTCTAGTGGCTGTCCATTGACAGCCACCAGGCGCTATGCGTTTCTCACCGTGAAAATCACAGTGAGAGCACGCAAGCGTTCATAGGGTGTAAATTATGTGATCGGCTGAATGCGCGCGAAGCTCTTGCCGCGCGTGCGCATTCAGCCGACGGAGGCGGATCGGAGGAGGAGAGCTCCCCGCCCAGCGCTGGAAAAAGGTAAGTTTTACCCCTTTCCCCCTTCCAGAGCCGGGCGGGAGGGGGACCCTGAGGGTGGGGGCACCCTCAGGGCACTATAGTGCCAGGAAAACGAGTATGTTTTCCTGGCACTATAGTGGTCATTTAACTCTGAGTTGAAATTTCCCAAATTACAGAAAACAAAATAAGCACTATGGACGAGCATGTTCGTTTTGATCTATAGCACTAAATTCTATGTATGGCACTAAAAAAAAAAAAAAAAAAAGAGATGATGGAAAAAGAGATGATTGATGGTTAGGGGAAAATCACAAAATGATGATTTTATTCACAGATCAAGTGAAAAGTTAGAAATAGAGGGAAAAAAGAGAAGCAGGAAAAAAAATCTATTTTTATTCATTCTTTGTGTGTACAAAGACTTGTAGGTAAAAACATTTTCACATGTATTTAGGAAAGATCTACTGGATTAACATATGCTGCTGCAATTGTTCTATTTTAATATTCCATGGCCGCTACATAAACATCTACATTAATCTGATCATAATATCCTACAAGAAGCCCAAAAGACAAATCTATTTAGTGTCTAATTGGCCTGTGCCATATTTCCAGTATTTTTATTTATCAAGTTCAAAATGCTGGCATCTGGCCAATTAGGTTGTTGTTAGCATTCTGTGTATGTAACCAAGAGAGATGTAGCTTCTGTTTATTAGCAATACAGACCTCAGGATGTTTCGTTCATAAAATTTAAAACATGGACAAGGCATTCTCACTAATTCAGTTTTTTCGAAAACTAGGATGTGTATATAATTTAGTTATCTGCATCTATGACTTAGATTTTGATAGGTAAATGAATATGTCAGGAGTTCACCATCTTCGCAGTTTGTTGATGTGTAGTTTGAAATATACTTTATTACATTTGTGCTTTCCTTTACAAAGACAATGCCTTGGCCAAGTGTGATTTATAGATCTTGTTTATGGTGAAAAAAAGTGTCAGCTAACTCAACAATAGCATACACTGTTGTACTCCGCAGATGTGGCCAAAATAGTAAAAAAAACTAAAAGTTAGCATTTAGTAATTATATAAAAAAAAAAAAAAAGTGAGGAAGATAGACAGATCTCTAAGATTAGACAGAAAGAGGCTAAGCAAGTTATAAAAAAGAGCTTCCAAATCACACACAGAAGAGAAAAAAAGCACAGTCAGTAAAAAAACAGGACAAAACATTTTTTAGATACATAAATGAGAAAAGGAAAGTAAAACAAGGATTAGTTAGAGTAAAAACAAAAGAAGGAAGGTATGTAGAAGAGGATAAAGGTCTAGCTGAATGCCTCAATGAATATTTTTGTTCAGTATTTACAGATGAAAATGAAGGAAAGGGGCCTCAGTTAAGAAAAAGGACAAATGAGTAATTTGTTACATGTGAGTTTACAGAGGAAGAGGTTCTATTTCAACTGTCAAAAGTAAAGACAAATAAGTCAATGGGACCTGATGGAATAAACCCAAGGTTATTAAAAGAGCTTAGTGGTGTACTAGCAAAACCATTAACAGATTTATTTAACCAATCATTGTTAACAGGTGTAGTCCCAGAAGATTGGAAGTTAGCGAATGTTGTGCCCATTCACAAGAAAGGTAATAAGGAGGAGTCAGGCAAATATAGGCCAGTAAGCCTTACTTCAGTAGTGGGGAAAGTGATGGAAACCATGTTAAAGGATAGGATTGTTGAACATCTAAAATCACATGGATTTCAAGATCAGAGACAACATGGATTAACTTCAGGGAGATCATGCCAAACTAATCTTATTGATTTTTTTAATTGGGTAACTAAAATAATAGATCAGGGTGATGCTGTAGACATTGCTTACCTAGATTTAAGTAAGGCTTTTGACACTGTTGCACATAGAAGGCTTATCAATAAACTGCAATCTTTAAGTTTGGATTCCAATATTGTTGAATGGGTAAGGCAGTGGCTGAGTCACAGGCAACAGAGAGTTGTAGTCAATGGAGTATATTCAAAGCATGGGCTTGTCACCAGTGGGGTACCTAAGGGATCTGTACTTGGACCCACTCTCTTTAATATTTTTTATTAGTGATATTACAGAAGGTCTTGATGGTAAGGTATGTCTTTTTCCTGATGATACAAAAATATGTAACAGGGTTGATGTTCCAGGAGGGATAAGCCAAATGGCAAATGATTTAAGTAAACTAGAAAAATGGTCAGAGTTGTGGCAACTGACATTTAATGTGGATAAGTGCAAGATAATGCATCTTGGACGTAAAAACCCAAGGGCAGAGTACAGAATATTTGATAGAGTCCTAACCTCAACATCTGAGGAAAAGGATTTAGGGGTGATTATGTCTGAGGACTTAAAGGTAGGCAGACAATATAATAGAGCAGCAGGAAATGCTAGCAGAATGCTTGGTTGTATAGGGAGAGGTATTAGCAGTAGAAAGAGGGAAGTGCTCATGCCATTGTACAGAACACTGGTGAGACCTCACTTGGAGTATTGTTGTACACAGTACTGGAGACCGTATCTCCAGAAGGATATTGATACTTTAGAGAGAGTTCAGAGAAGGGCTACTAAACTGGTTCATGGATTGCAGGATAAAACTTACCAGGAAAGGTTAAAGGATCTTAACATGTATAGCTTGGAGGAAAGACGAGACAGGGGGGATATGATAGAAACATTTAAATATATAAAGGGAATCCACACAGTAAAGGAGGAGACTATATTTAAAAGAAGAAAAACTACCACAAGAGGACATAGTCTTAAATTAGATGGACAAAGGTTTAAAAATAATATCAGGAAGTATTACTTTACTGAGAGGTTAGTGGATGCATGGAATAGCCTTCCAGCTGAAGTGGTAGAGGTTAACACAGTAAAGGAGTTTAAGCATGCGTGGGATAGGCATAAGGCTATCCTAACTATAAGATAAGATAAGGCCAGGGACTAATGAAATATTTAGAAAATTGGGCAGACTAGATGGGCCGAATGGTTCTTATCTGCCGTCACATTCTATGTTTCTATTGTATTAATTTATCAGCAAATGGAGATAAATGTATTATGTGATTGAAGAATTATTAAGTAAAGTATGTCTGTTGTTCAACAGATCCAGAACTGGTGGTACAGTGCTCCCCTTCCAGCCAGACACTTCATGTAGCATGATTGCAGAGCACAGCAGAGAATCTTCTGTCTTGGTCTGACAAGAAGTGCTCACTTAAAGCACCAGGTACTAGGTGGTACAAATGCACAAAGGGGGGCTGTGTAAGGGGCAAATTGTACACAGAGGGAATGGGAAAGGGGAGAAAGAGACACACTAAGAGGCTGGGGGAAGAGAGGGCCACAAATCCTTGCTCTAGCCCTGAATAGCATTGCACACCATGAATGACAAGTCTATAGCTTGAGTGAATATTGGAGGTGATTTTTCATAGAATGTTTCATAGTGGTCATCATAGAAAAACAAAAACAAAAAGACTTTCAAAAGGTGTTCACTAAAATGCAAATGGTCAGAAAGTTCAAGTGAATTTCAAATTTTGGCCCAAGGTAGCAAGAATAGAAAATTCCACTGTTTGAAATTCTCCTTCAACTAAGTTTGTGGTAATAAATTACTCTGTGAATGACATCATGGATATTAATTCTTTATAAAGCTCCAACATATTCCATAATGCTGTATAAAGACACAATTTATCTCAGGTCCCTGTA